GAAGAGTGAAAAAGTTGGCTTGAAACTCAGCATTCAAAAATGAAGATCACTGCATCTGGTCCCATCACTTCATGGCAGATAGATGGAGAAACAATGGANATCACTGCATCTGGTCCCATCACTTCATGGCAGATAGATGGAGAAACAATGGAAACAGTGACCGACTTTATTTGTTGGTCTCGAAAATCACTGCAGAGCGTGACTACAGCCATGAAATTAAAAGACACTTGGTTCTTGGAAGAAAAGCTATGACCAACCTAGACAGCGTATTTAACAGTAGAGACATTACTTTGCCCACAAAGGTCTGTCTTGTCAAAGCTATGTTTTTTTTTTCCAGTAGTCATGAATGGATGTGAGAGTTGGAGTATAAAGAAATTTGAGTGCCAAAGAATTGATGCTTTTGAACTATGGTGTTGGAGAAGACTCTTGAGAGTCCCTTGGACTCCAAGGTAGTCCAACCATTCACTCTTAGAGGAAATCAGTCCTGAATATTCGTTGGAAGGACTGATGTTGAAGCTGAAATCCAATATTTTGGCCACCTGATGTGAAGAGCTGACGCATTGGAAAAAAAACCTGATGCTAGGCAAGATTGAAGGTGTGAGGGGAAGGGGATGACAGAGGATGAGATGGTTGAATGGCATTACTGACTCAATAGACATGAGTTTGAGTAAGCTTCAGAAGTTCGTGATGGAGACGGAAGCCTGGTGTGCTGCAATCCATGGGGTCACAAAGTGTTGGACATGAATGAATTACTGAACTGAACTAATTATTAAATCAAATGCAGTGATAAAGAATCCACCTGCCAAACAGGAGACTCAAGTTCGATCTCTAGATCATCTCCTGGAGTAGAAAATGGAAACCTGCTTCAGTATTCTTGCCTGGAAAAGTCCATGGACAGAGGAGCCAAGAAGGCTATATAGTTCCTGGGGTTGCAAAGAGTCAGTTATGACTAAGCAACTGAGCACACATATACAAGTCTAACTTTCAGTGCTAGTTTGAAAATAATAGTGACATGTTAGTGACTGGAGCATGAGCTGTCTTTCCTAACTATTTGGGTTAAGGTGAGGATTAATGTTTTAATCTTGTGTCATATTTGTGAGGTAAAGTGAGTAGTCATAATTATTTCTGGAGGTTTTCCTGGCTCAAGAATTATTTATATGTAGAGATGGAGGTAGTGAAATAGCTTCTAATAAAAGCTAAAGATACTGATGATTAAGGGTCATGAGGACATAGGTTTTACATCAATATGAGCATCAGTGTATAACAAACTGAAAAATTAAGATCCTCACTTTACTATTGGTGTTCAGTCACTCAGTCATGTCTGACTCTTTGCAACCCCATGGATTGCAGCACGACAGACTTCCCTGTCCTTCACCATCTCTCAGAATGTGCTCAATCTCATGTCCATTGAGTCAGTGATACCATCCAACCATCATGTCCTCTGTCCCCTTCTCCACCTGCTTCCTATCTTTCCCAGCATCAGGGTCCTTTCCAATGAGTTGGTTGTTCACCTCAGGTGGCCAAAGTATTGGAGCTTCAGCTTCAGCATCAGTCCTAACAATGAATACTTAAGGTTGATTTCTTTCATGAGTGACTGGTCTATTTTACTTTAGACTTTTCTTTAACACATCATAGATCAAGGGCTTACTGAATCACACATTTTGTCAGAAGTGTAAAAGATGTCTACCATCCAGGTTTACTATCTATGAAGGCTTTTGCTTTATTTTCTCCCTCTCCATTCCCTTCTCCAACCAGGACTTCTTTTATTTTGCATGTATTGGGTATCACTTTTAACCTCCAATTAATAGTTATCATTTAGGGCTTCATTTGTCTTTCTCCTAGTCTTGCTTGAGAAAGAGTTGTTTTTTTTTTTTGTTTGTTTGTTTTTAAATAAAGCTCTGATCTCCATTTGATTCTGAATATGGATTTTTTTGTAAGTGTGAAAATGTTGCCTTACTGTGATTATTACAATAAATTCTGCATGTTAATGTGCTTTGTAAAGTATAGAATCTGTGTATTATTGCCATTGAATTTAGGTGCAGTAATTTTTCATGTTTCATGTCCATTTCTTTCCACATGGCCAATTCAGAATTTAGGACTAGACTGGCTGCCCTCCAGGACATCATTAGTAGTGACCTTGTCACTTAATGTTAACTGTATACCTCATTTATACCATGGTTGAAAATGGCTGAAAGCCAGCACAAGTGAAGCATTGCAAACAAGGGCCAAGATAGGCAGGTATAGCCCTTATTTCCCATGTCTGTTGAAATAACGCTCAGCTCTCCAGCTTACTAGATCTATTTCATTGCTTTTGCCAAATATGGTCATCCTCAAAACTTTTTCTCAGAAATGTTCTGGCCCAGAAATACCAAATCTTTACTTTAAATACATAACATTTTAGAAATTTATTGATGATTACCTAATTAGAAAGTTCTGTTTCAGTAATACAAATTAAACATTTTTGCTATCTATAGAAAAAGAAAATGAATTAAAAATGGATGAATATTAATAAGGAAGCTATAAAATCTCTAAAACCATTCACTGAATTGGTGCATTTAATCCTATAATCTAAGTATTATTGAATCAAGTATTTCTGTAATTATCATTTTACTTTAATTACACATATGTGTTGGGTTTTTTCTTGCACTTACACATTTTTCCAATTTGTACTTAACACTATCAAAATGTCAAATTTTTTTGTTATATCCATTTGATATACTTAAAAGAAGAATGTCATAGCAAAAATATCACTTAATTCTATTTCTCCCTGTTCTGTTCAGTTCAGTTCAGTTCCGTCGCTCAGCCATGTCTGACTCTTTACAACCTCATGAGCCACCGCATGCCAGGCCTCCTTGTCCATAACCAACTCCTGAAGTTTACTCAAACTCATGTCCATTTAGTCGGTGATGCCATTCAACCATCTCACCCTCTGTCATCCCCTTCTCCTCACATCTTCAATCTTTCCCAGAATCAGGGTCTTTTCAAATGTCAGCTCTTTGCATCAGGTGGCCAAAGTATTGGAGTTTCAGCTTCAACATCAGTCCTTCCAACGAACACTCAGGACTGATTTCCTTTAGGATGGACTGGCTGGATCTCCTTGCAGTCCAAAGGACTCTCAAGAGTCTTCTCCAATACACCACAGTTCAAAAGCATCAATTCTTTGGCACTCAAATTTATTTATATTCCAACTCTCACATCCATACATGACTACTGGAAAAACCATAGCCTTGACTAGTGGACCTTTGTTGGCAAAGTAATGTCTCTGCTTTTAAAGATGCTGTCTAGGTTGGTCATAACTTTCCTTCCAAGGAGTAAGCATCTTTTAATTTCATGGCTCTGGTCACCATCTGCAGTGATTTTGGAGCCCAGGAAAATAAAGTCTGTCACTGTTTCCATTGTTGCCCTGTCNCATGATCTTAGTTTTCTGAATGTTGAGTTTTAAGCCAACTTTTTCACTCTCCTCTTTCACTTTCATCAAGAGGCTCTTTAGTTCTTCATTGCTTTCTGCCATAAGCGTGGTATCATCTGCATGTCTGAGGTTATTGATATTTCCCCCAGCAATCTTGATTCTAGTTTGTGCTTCATCCAGCCCAGCATTTCTCTTGATGTACTCTGCATATAAATTAAATAAGCATGGTGACAATATATAGCCTTGATGTACTCCTTTCCCTATTTATCCCAGTAGTTATTAGTAAAGTCAGAAATAAATGGCAAAATCATTTTTTTACTTATGTACTATATAGCAATTGCATAATTCTCATAATTAGAAAAACTAATTATTAATGTTTTTTAATGGAAAACTACAAAAAACTTGGGAAGGATGTCATTAAATAAATACAGCTTATTAATTTTTTTTGTTCAAACTAGTCTTATATAAAAATTTTTTGTTACATAGGTGTTTTTGGTTTGTATTGTTATTCCCACTTTCATAGTTTTTAGCAGGTATTGAATACTGAAACAAAAAATATCATCTACATGTCTGATTTAATCTGATAGGGAAGATATTTCAGTATGTAAAAACACTACACATAAACACAAGTGTGTATGTTTAAATAAAGATAAACTTATTCTATGAAATTTATAAGGAATGGTGCTTTTCACTAAACATAGAATTCTCACTCTCTAAAGTTTGAGAACTGTGAGAACTGATTCTGTATTAAGCCAGAAAATATGTTTTATTTGACCAAAATTAATTATACAAAGTGAAGCTGGCTTTTGTTGAACTTGCATTCTTTAGTTGGCCACCACTGGCACCATACTTTATTATTATTAATTTTCTTTGGACACTAAAACGACCTGTCTATCTCTGAAGATGTTTGATTTATGACTTTTGCTTGAAGTGTTAAAATAAAACAGAAGAGAAATCATTTCTAAAAGTTTGCAGAAAGTAATGTTTTCACTAGTACAATGAAATATACAATATTCTATGTTAAGTAGCTATATTTTTATCAAATTATAACTGGAGAATCCAGAGCTGAATTATAACTTATTATATTAAAATTATATAATATTTAACTCTGTAATAACAATGCATATCAACAATAAACTGTATTTCATGGTGCAATTTCTATTCAATCATTCCTAGAGTGATGGTAGTTATACCCAGAAATCAGAAGTTAACAGGTATATACAGAATAGTCTCATGTTTTCTTCTTATCTTAGCCAAGTGAAAATTTGAATAAGTGTATACATAAAACTGTGGAAAACTACCTAGATAATATATAGAGAAATGCAGACAGGAAAGCAACAATTTATAAAAATTATAAATTACTGTAATAATATGGAATACATTTTATTTTCACTAGTATTCAAAAAAATACACATTTTACAAACTTTATTTTGGCTTGTAATATTAACACCATTACAAATTATATTTGAGTGTGTGACTTAGCAGACATTTTTACATGCTACTGACAAGGATGCAAAGTGTTGTAACCTTTCTAATGACAGTTTTGTCACATGCCTAAAAATGTGACATATATATATATATATATGGACAGCCCCAGGAGACGCGGGTGCTGCAGGTCTCCTGTGGCAGAGCCCACTCGCTCGTCCTGACGATGGTGAAGGAGTCTTCAGCATGGGGAACAATTCTTATGGGCAGTGTGGAAGAAAGGTGGTCGAGAATGAAATTTATAGTGAGAGTCACGCAGTTCATAGGATGCAGGACTTCGATGTACAGGTGGTCCAGGTCGCCTGTGGTCAGGACCACAGTCTGTTCCTGACGGATCGAGGAGAAGTGTATTCTTGTGGATGGGGTGCAGACGGGCAGACAGGCCTGGGTCACTACAATATCACCAGCACGCCCACCAGGCTGGGCGGAGACCTGGCCGGAGTGAACGTCGTCCAGGTGGCCACCTACGGGGACTGCTGCCTGGCCGTGTCAGCCGACGGCGGCCTCTTTGGCTGGGGCAACTCTGAGTACCTGCAGCTGGCCTCCGTCACCGACTCCACACAGGTGAACGTCCCCCGGTGCTTGCCCTTCTCGGGAGTGGGGCTGGTGAAGCAGGCTGCGTGTAGGGGCACAGGCTGTGCGGTATTAAACGGTGAGCCCCTCTTGCGGGCTGTTTACTGGGAAGCTGCGGGTGGGATGGGTGCGGAAGGGCTGGTGTCCACTGGGTCCGGCTCTCAGCGTGGGGAGTGGGCCTGTGGGAAGATCAGAGTTCAGTCCACAGTGGGGGAGGGTGACTGATGTTCTTGACAGAAGGCTAGCAGCTATGATTTATATGTTTACAAAGAGCCAGCGTAGAACTTTGTATTGCAGACCTCTGGCTTGCTCACTTCCTCTCCCTAAGCCTGGGCCAAAGACTCCAGCCCTGCCTTCTCCAGAGAGACTGTGCGGGCACCTGAGAGCCACGCCCCCTGGGATTACGCATCTGGCCCCTCTGATCAGTGTTAAACTTCTTATAACCTGAAAGTCATTGCGAGTTTTAGAATCTGGCCAGGAGTTGTGTGGGTACTTGGCTCGATCTCCTGCTCTGTGTCGGGAAAAGCTGTCCTTGTAAGGCTCCCGTGTTCACGTGGGGTCTGGGTGATTTATGGAGCAGCCCCGTCCAGCACGGTCAAGATGTGGGATGTTTGTGTGCTGAGATTGGTTAGTTGGCTAGACATCCTCCACAAGCACGAATTTGAAAGAGGAGAAAAGAAACATTAATTTAAGTGTCTATCTCAACATGTTCTTGCCAAGCAAGAAGAGGGAAAAGAAAAAAGGAAAAAAAATGCATGTGGATGTAACACATCTTGGTGGTGTGGTTTGAATTTCTTGAGAGGGAGGGCTGTGCTTGGTTTGACTTCCTGACCGTTGTTTTTACTGTAATCCAGGAGAAGGACATGTTTTCGTCTGGGGCTACGGAATTCTTGGGAAGGGACCAAACCTCTTGGAAACCGCTCTTCCAGAAATGATTCCACCCACTCTGTTTGGCCTGACGGAGTTCAACCCGGGCGTCCAGGTTTCCCGCATTCGCTGCGGACTCAGCCACTTTGCCGCCCTGACCAACCGAGGAGAGCTGTTTGTGTGGGGCAAGAACATCCGAGGGTGCCTGGGAATCGGTCGCCTGGAAGACCAGTACTTCCCTTGGAGGAGGAGCTTCCCGACCCAGGGATCGAACCTGCATCTCCTGCACTTCAGGTGGATTCTTCACCCACTGAGCCATCAAGGAAGCCCCTAAGACTCCAGGCCGGTGTTCCCCCAATCAGGCACAGAGAAGGGAGGCAGGAGACGTGGCCCCGGATCAGCATGAAATCAGACAGCCGTCAGCCAGCGTCATTTGTTTTTATCTATGAAATCTAATCCCTTCAATCTATTTGTCACATCCTATCATAAGGGATTGGATTTAGGTTATACCTGAATGGTCTGGTGGTTTTCCCAACTTTCTTCAATTTAGGTCTGAATTTGGCAATACGGAGTTCATGATCTGAGCCACAGTCAGCTCCCTGTCTTGTTTTTGTTGACTGTATAAAGCTTCTCCATCTTTGGCCATGAAGAGAATACTCACTTGGAATAATTTTAGCAGGAAATCCTTGGATTGGATTGCTCATGATAAGCTTATAATCTATAAATTTTTCCAGCACAGATACCTAGAAAATGTTACATTAGCTCTAAAATGCTTTGGTGTATAAAGTTATGATATTGACAAGGTGCTCCTTGTGAGAAGTACATGTATACTTCATGAAGAGAACTCATTACTCTGTATTAGAGGAAGTGTCTCATGTGGAGATGAAGTTCTGGGGGTGACCATCAAAGTCTCATAACTCTCTTTGATTTGCTCATGGCATTTGATTTCTTGTACACTTGATATGAGGTGTTATCTTTGATTCTAATATCTGATTTTAAAATATGCTCCATTTTAGATTAATCGTGAGCTTCTTGTTCACTCTTATTCTGGAGGGGCTTCTCCAAGGATTTGACATCTGAATAGTGATATGAATGTTGATAAATAAGCGTTGGAAAGAGCATGATGGAAGAGCCATGTGAAAATTTTGGGAAAGAATAAATTGGTAAAGCAGACTCAAATGTCCAGTGCGTGGTGTTTTAAGTTTTTTGGGTATGATCTCTTTTCATTCTTAGAAATCATTAAGCGATCAAAAAACTTTTTTTTTTTAAATTTTTTCTTTTTGTCTGTCACTTTTTGCCATATTGGAAACATAAGAATTTAAAATATAGTGAATGATTTATTTAAAGCCAACCATAAACATACATGTTAATAACATACATAATGTTTGAATTATATTTTCCAAAACATAATAAGCATGGAGAAGAATGTCAATGCAGTGCATGTTTTTCACAATTCTCTAATATCTGCCTTAACAAAGGTGTCTAGGTTCTTATATTTGCCTTTACCTTTAACCTGTGGGATATAATAGTTTATATAGACTCTTGAAAATGCCACTGTGGAAAATTCTCACAGTTGTGAGAGAATAGAACTTACCAGGCATGTAAAGCCATTAGTATTATGATAAAAATAGATTTGACCTAGTAGACCTCTTCAAAGTGTCTTGGTGACACCAAGGGTACACTAATCATGATTTAAGAATCCATAATCTTGAAAATGAGTTTAAAGTATTTGAAGGATGGACAGAAGATTATTTAACTGAAATAATGTGAGAGATGATGAGGTCTGGTATGGAGGAAAGCAGGTCAGCAATGGAAGCAGGAGCAAATCATTTATGACCATGTGAATTATGGTAGAGTATTCAGACTTTTTTTTTTAATAGTTTTATTTATTTATTTGTGGCTGTGCTGAATATTGGATCCTGTGCAGATTTTCTCTAGCTGTGCTGAGTGGGGAATGCTGTCTATGTCTTCTCTTGTTCTGGAGCACTGGCTCTAGGGTGGGTGGGCTCAGTAGGACACAGACTTAGCTGTTCTGGGGCATGTGAGATTGAATCCATGTCTCCTGCATTGACAGGCAGATTCTTTACACTGAGTCACCAGGGAAGCCCCAGATTTATTCTTATTTCAATGGAAAACCATTGGAACATTTTAAGAGGAGGAATGTTATCTGATTTTTATTTCAGAAAGTCAACACTGGTATGTGATAAGGAATTTATGCTGGTGGAGGGGGTAGACTAGAAAAGAGTATTAAGTTAGGAGACTTTTTCAGTTGTAGGCAAAGGTAATGTTGGCTGAAGATAACAGATAATGATTTTTAGATGGATCACACCACCATCATATGGAAGGTGGAAGCAGCACAGACTTTCCGGGAGAGATCTTCTGCTGAAATCACACTTACCTGATGGAAGATAGAAGGCTGTGAAACTGCTATGGGAATAGTAACCTCTTTACAGTTGAAGTACAGTAAAAAGTACAAATGAAATGCAGAGTATAACAGAGAAGACTTGGGAAGAAAATCCTGGAAAACAGTCATGCATCAAGGTTTTATCTTATTATTCCTGAGAAACAGTTATGCGCACTGAAATTTTTAGGATAAGGTTGGATGAATAAGTTCCTCTTCTTTCCCTTTGCATCTTTCAGGTGACTGGCTGTTACATTCAAAGAAAAGAATCTTGATTAACACAGAGTTATTCTGTAATTATTGGTAATATAATATTGTATCAAATTAATAATCTTGATTTAAGAGTTGAATATGTTATTTAATCATTATTAGTAAAGAAATAAGAGACACACCTAGTATGTCAGTTTTTATAAACAATGATATCAGTGATTACCTTTGAATGGTAGGATTATTCTTGTTTGTTTTCCTCTTATGGTTTTCTGAAACTTCAAAACAATTAGTAAAGTAGTACTTTTAGAATTAAAAAGTACTATGAGAAAATAAAACATCATTAATACTAATTATTAACATAACCTGGTCTTGAAAATAATTTAAAAGTTTCCTATAAAATGTGATATCTCTGTCAAAATTTCCAACAGGTCTTCTATTAATGCATTAATAATTCCTAATTTAAAATATATGCCCACATAAATGTCCATACTTCAGAAACACCAGATATGTCCTAGAAGATAACCTTATAATCAGTGAAAAAAATAATTAAAACTATATTTTCATAGTCTTTGTTGTTTTTATTATTTTAAAAATCTTTTAGAAGGAGTCTAAATATATTTAACATCTATAAAGACACTACTAGGCTTCGTTTTTAACATGAATCTCAAATCTATGAAATATTATACTTAAAGGTTAAGATATGTACCTTGAGTTATGATAAACTTAAGTACTCTTGGTTGTTAATAATAGATTCACAATCAGTACACAATCCAATAAGCTTTTTGAGTTATTGTGCCTACATTTTAATCCAAGATGGGTGTGTTAACAGCTTTAGCAAATTACGAATGCTCCATTACAGAATATAACAAAGAATGGCCTGTATATAGGTAAGCTTTATTAAGTAGAAATAACTTGTAATACAAAGTGCCCTTGAAGTTCAGTTTTATATGTAACTTCTTGTATCTGCATTGTTTCTGAGCACTTTCATTTAGGTTCAAACCAATTGAAACATACTTTTCCACTTCACAGTCAGAATATTACAACTTTTTCAAATGCTTTTACTTGCTACTTGTTTCATTTGGAAATTTGTTTTTTAATTTTAATAAGGTACAATTTTGACATGATATGTAATACAATCAAGTGTCACTTAGCTTTTAAATATCTATTGTTATAATTAATGATACATTTTTGATTCAATCTTGAAATGCAAAAAAAAAAAAGTATGTATATTATAAATGTAAAGAGGGACTTCTCTGGACTTCTCTGAAGCTTCCGAGGACAAATTGGAAACCCATAAACACAGAATACTTCTTTCAGAACTCTCTGTGGAAAGCCAGTAGGTGGAGACAATGTCAGCTTCTCATACAGCTCTAGTCAACTTGAATTACTTTTCTTGCTTAGCTGCTTTTGAATGGACATGGGCATTTTGGTTGTATTTTCAATCAGGCAAAATCACCACCTGGCTTTGAATCTAGAATCTCTAGCTGTGGCTCATATCTCATTGTTACCCTTGTGACTTTGTTTAACTCTGGTAAAGAAATATTTCAACCTCAAACAAACTAGGTGTTTTCACAAAGAACCATCTGTAAAAGGCCCTTGCCAGAAACCTGTTAAATATTCTCTTCTGTAATTGAATTTCAAACTTTTTTTTACAGAAACAATGCTGCACTATGAGGGCACGTTTATATTCAAATAATATTCTGTTTTGATTTAGTACTTTAATCTGAGTGCTTCTATGGAAATTTGCATAATCTCTCAAATTATAAAACATGATATCCAATGGTTTATTATACTGCCCCTTCAATATTAAAGCTCCAAAGAGAAGGCACATGATGAGAATTGTGTATTGGGAGATATCAAAAATTTATACATGTATTATTGTCAAAAAACATTACCAACAAGGAGTTTATTAGTGGGATTATTAAAACGGGCTTACCCTTTGACATAGTAAATCCACCGATAAAAGGCAATTATATTTGTACCTTGGTACTTGTTATACTATTGCTTGTGATAAAAGATGTGGGAATAAGCCAGCTTTATTTCAGTAAAGATGATACATACAATCTAACTGTACATCAATAGAAGCTTATATAAACATATAATAGCAGAAAATGAAGACTTAAGAGATACATTTCTCTAGTACGAGGCAAGCACTATACTATACAATTGTTAATACTGTGCGCATAGATCAAACTGTCAAGTGTGGGAGACATATGTTAATGCAAATAATCATCCACCCACCTGTGTAATTATCCCTTGTGAAATGTTTATCAGGGGGAAGTACAGAGAGAAATCCACATAAAATCTAAGTTGCAAAGTAGTAAATATTACACGTATATACCAATAAAATATTTATATATAATAATTTCAATATGCACATAAAGTATAAAACAGTAATTATTTGGAAGACATTACAAAAGATGGTTAGTTTTGAATGGTTTGTATTTTTTTACTTTGCCAATACATTCCAATGCAGAAAACATTTTAATTGTAGAAAAATATTAAATTACATTAGTAGGAATGAGTTTACAAAAACTTTTTAAAATTAATTAATTTATTTTAATTGGAGGATCATTACTTTACAATATTGTGATGGTTTTGCCAAAAATAAACACGAATCAGCCAAAGGTATACATGGGTTCCCTCCATAATTTCAATATATAATTAAGAAAATACTAAATTATTTAAAGTCA